TAGGTGTGCACCACAGAGCTTGGCCCATTTTCTAAATAGCATAAACCAGGCTGCAGGGAGCACTCTTGTTTGGATAACTTTGCAATCGAAAGGCAAGGTTTCTAGAGGCAGGACCCAGGCAGGAGCATGCTCAGGGGCTGCAGGTGGGCGGGAGAGCCTCTACAGACCTCTTCAGAGCATCTGAAACCCATTCCACTGGGTTCCGTGCTGGGCTGAGCTACTTCTTCCCAACTCTGAAGGCTAATTCCTGTGAAAGTCAAATTAGTCTGACACTCAAGGCCCATCTGCCATGATTTTGTAGTGAGTAGCAGCCCGGAGTCCTTGAGTCTCTCCCTAGACTTCAAGGAATCAATTCTGTTCACGGGTAGCACTGAGAACTAGTTACTGGTAGCAGGGGGCTGGGCAAAGGGGAGCAAATACTTCTTCCAGAGGCTGCTGAAGGGGCTCTTCCTTTCTCTACCACCCAAAAGGTCATTTGCTTTTTTCAATCCCCTTAGCACAGTCTCCTTGGCTTCCTAACTGGCCAGCACGAGTGTCCCTTACTAAAGTGACATCATGGACTAGTGCAGTCTGCACGGGCAGCTTGCCCCCAGTTCTTGGGCACTGGGATTGCTGGAACTGCCCCGTTGAGGTCAACCTGCTGGAACCAAAGATGAAAGAAATGGGGGCGGCCACCTGTGTTCCTTCGCACACTCACTCACCGACACTCAGCAGGTATTGAGTTTAGCATCTACTGTGCCCTGGGCTCTGGGGACAGCATGGTAGGAGAAGGGGAAAAGGACACCCTGTCTGTAAATGCATAGAAACACCTGCTGCCTCTGGGCGGGGGGCGGGGTTTGAGAGGGCGCAAAGGGGACTTTGGTATTCTTTTATGTTGCCTGAATGTGTAATTTACTACTTGGGCAAAATACAATAAGAGCAAAAAAGATATTTTAAAAAAATTTTAAGTGGGGCCACTTAGCAGGGAATCCAAAGAGTCCCGAGTCTTCTTGGATGCAGGAGGGAGGGGTGCGCCTCCTGCCCATCTGGGGCTGCGGGGGACCTCCCAGGTAATACAGCATCATCGCTGCAGCCCAGGGGGCAGGACCTGGGGTGTGCACGGTGCTCCCTCCCCTTCCACATGGTGGGTGAAGAGTGGAAACAGGAACATTTTCCCAAGACAATTCATGAATCTCTCCAGTGATGAGCTGTGCTTGTGAGTCAGCATCTGAGAAAGTTCTTTATGAGCCAAGTTTGAGGGGACATATCCCAGGATCAGAGCAGTGGCTCACAGGGATTGGCAGACTCAATGTTTAACAAACAGTTTCAGCCAAGATGCAGTGGTGCTCGCCTGTCATCCCAGCGGCTTGGGAGGCTGAGGCAAGAGGATCATGAGTCCAAAGCCAGCCTCAGCAATTTAGTGAGGCGCTAAGCAACTCAGTGAGATCCTGTCTCTAATAAGATACAGAATAGGGCTGGGGATGTGGCTCAGTGGTCTGCTACTGATGACCTCATGGGTTGTTCCAAATTGCTGTGGTTGCAGATCAAGCTACAGGGATCCTCCTGTGCCTGTTCATGTGACTAGTTCTGTGCGCTGGATCCCTGGCCTAGGGTACGCAACTCGAGATCCCTCCAAAAGACCTTGGTGGGAATATGTTACGTGGTGTCCACAGTGTGGGAACGCATGCTCCTACGCCGGGGTGTTTCCTAGGCTCACGTCTGACCTACAGTAAGTGGGTTCTAGAGTCTGTCCATTTAGCAGCCCAGGACTGTTTTGGATACATGTCCCCCATTGTGTTAAAGGCTTGATCCCCAGTCAGCAGTGCTGTTGGGATGTGCTGAAACCTCTAAGAAGTGAGGCCTAGTGAGAGGTTTTCTGGTCATCAGAGGTGTGCCCTTGAAGGGGACACTGGGACCCTACCCCTTCTTTATCTCTTTTGCTTCCTGACCACCATGAGGCAAGCAGGTTTGCTCCATCACACATTACCCACCTTGCCACGGGCCCAAAGTGACGGGGCCAATCCATCAGCCCTGTAAATCTGTGAGCCAAGATAAACCTTTCCTCTTTATGAGTTGGTTATCTCAGGTATTTTGTTATAGTAACAGAAAGGTGACTAACACACCCAGGAAGTACTTGGCCAGATTCACGGTAGGCTCAATGACTTACAGGTTGGGAAATTGAAATCAATTTCTGGTCTTACCTAGCTTTGTATGAAAACACCACTACTTTGGGGAATGTAGTAGATCATAGCTTTAAAAATAGTTTATCTCCTCTGCTGAGGCCATTGTAATTTTCCTTTCATCATGTGTGTTCAATGAACATATCCAACACAACTTCAGTTCCTCCAACTTTCTGATGTAGGTTCTTGCTCACCGTGACCCTCTGAGCCATGCTTCTCTCTGCCCACATCTTGCTTGGTCCCTTCCCCACCTGAACGACCCCTCCTTCTTCCAAATATGGAGAAAAATACATATGTGTATCTTCAAATGTATGCAAATCCTGCATCCTCTCTGAACCTTCCCTGGTGAATGCAACCCCCTCCTGACTTCTGGGCTGTACATACACCTGCCAACTCTGGTCATTTATAGTACTGGCCTCTGGCTTGTTATGTCTTCCCTGGTAAGACTGGAGGCAAATTGAGGGCAGACACCTGTCTTCTCCAGTGCAGAGAACAATGCTTAGCACCCAGTCACCATACTCAGTGGCTCTTAGTAGTTGCTCAATAAACATTCCTTTGCTCCCTCCATCCCTCCTTTGTCTGTACCTGGGCTTCAGGCAGTATACTCCTCAGGTTCCATTGACTTTCATTCCATAGATTTGTGGCTAGAAAACCAACTGAGAATTTTAGGTGGCTGGCAAAAGCTAGGTTTTTAAAAATTATTTATTTATTTATTTATTTTAGTTGTAGTTGGACACAAATACCTTTATTTCACTTATTAATTTTTATGTGGTGCTGAGGATCGAACCCAGAGTCTCACACATGCAAGGCGAGCGCTCTACTGCTGAGCCACAACCCCAGCCCCAAAAGCTAGTTTTCATAAACTAAGTCAAAGGTGTCTCTCCATTGTGCTAATTGACGTCCCTGAGTGTTCTTTGAAAATAGAAGGTGGCTACCCAGGAAGCAGGAGTCCTGTGGTGCTCATGTCCTCCAGAGGTTGAAGGGGAGTTTGAGAAGGGGCGGGTTGGGAGGACTTTTGCTTCCACCTGAGCAGGTCTGAGGTCTGAGGTCACCAGTCCTGGTGACTGTCAGCTAATGTTGGTGGTGGGAACCACGTGTGTATGATTCACCTCTTTCGTGCAGTCAGATGGATTAGTCAGTATCCAAGTTAGAGGTAGAGGTGTCCCCGAATGGAGTCATCAGAGAGTTTAGCAAGGGTTCCAGGGGAAAGATGTGCACAGGGTTTAGGACAACAGCAGAGATGACGCAGCACCCCAGGGTGGTGACAGAGGGGAGCTGGTATCTCTCTGCAGAACAGGACCTGGAGCTGGCAGGGGTTGTGGCCAATCTGTGACCCACCGAAGAGAGTCAGGGAACGAACAGCCAGGATCTCACCTCCCACTTGTGCCTTCTATTGGCCAAACCCAGTGGGAAGCCAGAGGCCAGAGGCACTTCTTGGGACAGAACTGTACAAGTCAACTAGGGGAATTTTTCTACCCTGGAAGTAATCAAGTGGCCGCTCTCTGTTTCTTTCCTGTCCCACTCAGTCTGTGTTACTCACATGGAACTTATTCTACCTGCTCCAGAGTAGTGTGGGGGACATTTTTAAATCTCCCCTGATAATTTGTAACCATAAAAATCTACTATTTTTTGGCGGGGGGGGGGGGGCAGTGCTAGGGATTGAACCCAGGACTTCATGCATGTTAGGCAAATACTCTACCACTAAGCCACATCCCCAGCCCCAAATCCACCATTTTAAGGTATCCAAGTCAGTTTTTAGTGTATTCACAGAGTGGTGCCACCATCCCCACCATCAATTCCAGATATTTCCTATTCCCTTAAAAGAAATCCCACACCCATCAGCATTCACCCCAGCCCTAAGTAGCCACCATTCTACTGGCTGCCTGCAAAGATTTGTCTGTTGTGGACATTTCATACAAATAGAATCACACAATAATTATTCTCCTGTATCTGGCTTCTTTCACTCAGTAGGATATTTTTAAGGTTCATATCCATCTTGGAGAAAGTATCAGTAATGCTTCATTCCTTTTTTATGGCCAAGTAATATTCCTCTGCATGGATAGACCACATTGCGTTTATCCATTCATTAGTTGACGGACATTGGGGTTGTTTCCAGTTTTTTGGAGATGATGCATAATGCTGCTATGAACATCTGTGTGCAAGTTCTTGTGGACATATATTTTCCCTGGTCTTGGGTACGTGCTGGTTTTCCTGCCCTGCCTGGCGTGTTCATTTTCTTATCTGGATGAGTTCCCCGACACCTTTCAATCCTCAGCAGGGGCCTGCCTTTTTCTATGGGGGCACTTGTCTGACTCCCCTTCTCTCTCATGAGCTGCCTGCCCCCTGGTCTTTCATAGCTCATGTCTCCCCATATGGTCCCTGTCCTTTGCACAAGACTGTATTATCAGTTTGTCCCCCAGCTCCCTGTGGGCCTCTGAGCCCCTCAAGAGCAGGGGCAGGCATGATTTGGAAGGAATGAGTGAGAGGGCAGAGACTGTTCCCAGCTCTGCTTTGAGAAGGAATCTATGTAGTGAATAGATGAAGCAAAATCTGGCATCGTGGCTCTTGATTCTTTTTTTTTAAATTTCAGAAGATGCCAATGTAAATACCCAGGTCTGCAAACAGAGCCGGATGTGGACATGCAAACGTCTGTTTCCCTCAGGCTGCGACGTGGGCAGCGATTCTAGTGGGTGGATGGGGGTGGGGACACGACTTTCCTCCCAAATCCCAGCTTCCAAAGGAGCAGCTCCCCTCCCCCTCTGACATCTGGGGCCCACGGTGCTGACGTCACCCGCGGCAGCTGTCTGCACTGACGAAATACAATTCTTCTGATTTCTGCAGGTTGGCGAAACCCTGCGTCCTTGGTGGAAGCTGCTTCCCATTTTCCTGAGGGGGAGCCCAGAGCTTGACATGCCGCGGTCGGCGCTTGGAGAAGGAAGAGGAAGATAAAGAGAGCATCTGGAGCGCAGCGGGACACGGGACGGGACTGGGGACGCCCTTGGGAAGCCCAGCTGCAGAAACAGACACCCCAATGCTATTTATGATATAGCTCTATATATACAAAAAAAAAAGAGAGAAAAAAATATGAATATTCCGTATCAGTGCATGCCTTGTCTAGGACGTGGTCCCCTCCCTTTGGACACCTCGGATGTGAACTCTGATACTTGGTCATGTCTGGGGCACCAGAAGACAGATGCCTGCTTCTGTGTATCTAGGAAATTTGCAAAGACTGGTGGGAATTGGCTTCTGCCTTCACCAAATACCCCGGGGGGAAAAGATGATGATGGGGTTGGTTAGACAAAGCAAGTGAGGACTTGGGGCCAGTTTTGTAGGGACAGTCTGGGATACCTCCTTTTCTTGACACGTCCTAGCCTCTCTCTGTCCCTGTCTAGATAGGTCGCTAAGATCCCACTGTCACAACCAGAGAAATGGGATGTGTTTTCCCCCCCGGCTCCTTGCCAATCTGGTGTGTCTGGTGCTTTATATCCATTTTGCAGGTGCTAAGTGTGTCCTTTCTGGTATCTCCATGATCTTCTGTAGACAGACCTGGAAGGCCAGGGCACGAGAGAGATTTCTATTTTGCTGTTTGGATTCTTCTTCCCCCCCCCACCCAAAGGCATGAGTTGTAAAAGTGCCATCTGAGAGTCTCTTTCTCCATGTGGGAGCCAATGCCCAGAGTTGCTTGAGGGCAAAGCCTGGGCTGCATTCATGACTGCCTGCTTGGGAGGACAGAAAGCTGGCCTCAGGTGCCACTTGGTGGCTGTCTCTTCCACCCCCACAGAAGTCTCCTAGGAATTCAGCCCCTGGCCTCCCCCACTCTCTAGGGGGATTCCAGGGCTTAGATTTTATGGATTTAAGAGCCAAGAAATGGCGACACTTCTGGTTGGGGGTGATTTATAAGCGAGGGACATTGGGAGAGGGAGTGGGTCATTTAAATGACATGTACCAGCATCTCACTGACTGTCAGAGGCCTGATTTCCTTCCCCCCACCCCTGGATAAGCTAACTATTTTCAGAAGTTTCTAGAAGGGCTAAAAAAAGATGTGTGCTGGACTGAGACTTGGCTGCAAAGACTCTTTGGGGAGCCACAATTCCTTTTGGCTTTTATTTTTAAAAAAAACATCCAGCAGGTATTATTCCCTGAGGCAGGCAGGGTCTCCCTGCCCCTCACCTGCCCTGTACTTGTCCTGGCTAATGATGAGGTGAAGGTTCCTGCCCGCAGACTCAGTCACTCTCCAAGGCTGGATTTGCAGGTCACCGCCCAGTGCCTAGAGATGGGGCTCCCATGGGCTGATTGGCAGACACCCCTGCAGTTCTAAGGAGCCAGTGCCGGGATCCATAGTCGTTAAGGTACATGGGACTGGAGTGACCCCCCCCCCCCATATGCCTGGCTGAAGGTTACTACCGGGTCCTTTACACAGCACGACCTGCAAGCAGAGAGCTGGGTTTCTTTCTTCTGATTTTTTTTTTAAAACTCATGCCTTGTGCTTTTCTAAATAGCCTTTTAAAGAAAAATGCGGTTCAGAATGGCTGAAGGTGAGGGAAGCTCACACACACACACACACACACACACACACACACCAGCGCTACACTCAGCAATGCAAAGCAAGCAGGCTGGTTTCTGGAACACTTGTTTCTCTCATCACTCCAACCTTCCCCCAGCAGAGGCTTGCAGGGGACCCTAGAGCAGGAAGGGCTGCAGAGGATAGAAGGGGACGTCCCCACCCAGCCGGGAACTTAGAGAGGGGCAGGTTCCCTGGAATGGTAGGAAAGAGTTTCTGCTTGTGTTTGCTGACTTTCCCAGGCAGAGACAAGAATCCTAGCACACCCATTTTTTTTTCTCTCCTTTTTTTCTGGGAATGGTTTCCATTCCTACAATTGTGTGCATCCGGTTCTCTGCTTCTTTGAGGCTGTACCTTCAAGGCTTCAGTAGGGGGACAGACTGACCCTGTATAGATCCAGGAAAAGGGTGAAAGGTCAGAGGATCCTTTTTTTTTCTGACCCTGACTTGCCAGACTAGCTGACCACATTTCCCCTGGAGGACCCCAGACTCCAAACGCAGGGGCAGGCATTTGGGGCGATTTCCATTTCAATGAAGCCACATTGCTGAGAGAATCGGGCACCCACCGCCCCCCGTGGAGCTTTACAGCCAAGTCCCTTGTACATAGTCTCATGCATTATCAGAACCGGTGTCTTTATTGAATCCTGGCCTTTTCTTGCACATCATTAATTTGAGTGCACTTCTCGACTGCCCCGATTTTTGACAGGGGGTTGTTTTTAATGCTTGTTTTTATATGAGATTTGACTTCTTGATGGATCTTTGTATTAGGAAATTGAAGCATGATATATATATGTCTATAATGTCTCCACCGTCTCTCCTGTTGCATTACTTGGATTGCATGAGATAGCGGGATGGGATTTTGTTTTGTTTTCTACAAAAAAAAAGAGAAAGAAATATTTCCACCGTGTGCGAAGGCTGGCACCAGCCCTCCCGTTCTCCCCCCCACCCCTTTCCTCCGGCTGCCAAGGAGCCATTGATTTTGATTAGCTTCACTGCAGAGCGTCTGTGAGGAGAGGGAAAGGGAGAGAGGGAGGGAGGCTTTGAAATAAATTTTAAAAAAGACCTCATATCGGGTTTCAGCAGACAGCAGTGTGTGAATGTGAGTGCGTGTGTGTGTGTGCGTGCGTGCGTGTGTGTGTGTGTGTGTGTGTGTGTGTCCGTGCAGAGCGGAGGGAGGCCTCTGAGATCATCGCTTAGGTAGCTCACTGCATAATGAGCCAAGGGGCCGTACACCTCCTCCATCCTGGTCTCAGACGGCGGGGGTCCAGGGGCCATAGGGGCTGAAGCCCCATGGGACTTCAACCTTCCAGATTCTCTTGTCACCCCATCCTCCCCCAGGCTCGTTTCAAATCTGAGGTTCCATTTTCTGTTCCTTGAGCATTGGATTCTTTGGGGAGCCCTCCCCACCCCCCCGTTGCTGACCCTGCTGGATGCTGTCCATGGTCCTAGGCTGGGGGCCCTCTCCTAAAGGCAAGTCCTGTCCCCACCTGGATCCCTTCATTAGCACTGGGGGACTTCTTCTCCATTTCTCCCAAGGGTCTTGTTTTCTTTTCTATTTTGATGAAAGGGGGGAAAAAAGGGTGGTTTAAACATTGCTGTCACAGAACAATGAAGCTGTGACTGGTTTTACAATTCATGTAGCTGATCTCATGTTCTTCTAACTCTATAGTCACGTTTCTGACAGTGACAACATATCACTCTTCCTGCCCGTGAACTGGGGGGAGTCCCAGTGTACCCGCCTCCCATGCAAATATCTTTTGGGGACACTGCAGCACCCCAGTGGACATTCTGAGTATCCACTTGGGGTTAGAATCTGCAGGGACCAGCCCATAGGCTTTGTTCTTCTGTGGATTCCAATTTCCTTTCTGAAAGTTCCCTTAAGTGAACCTGAGGCAATGAGTCAGCACTCGGTCAGTAAGTTAAAGGGGACAGGCCAGACACTGTGGCCGAGTCCCACAGAAGCTGATCAGAAGCTCCACAGAGGGAGCAAGTTGATGTCAGCATGTCAATTTTAAAACTTAAGCCAAAAGTTTATTTTTAACATTTTAATTGAATCATTCAACACATACTTATTGAGCATCTACAGTATGTTAGGTTGCAGAATTCCACCTCGGAAGACTGACTTACGGATCCTGCAAGGGCAGTCCTGCCTGGAACCAGGCCATTTGAAGCGCCCTTTCCAGTCTGGTCCACAATTTTTTTTAAACAGATTTGTCAGGTCACCACTGTGACCCCAAGCTTTGCCAGCAGATTGTTCTATAGTATTTACTGTGCGCCACGCTACCAGCTGAAGGCGGTCAAGTGAATCGGGCGACCTTGACTCGTTTCCCAGCATGAAGACTGGTCCTGGCTGCTTTATATCCTAGTCAGAGCTCTCCTTTGCGAAGCTTTTGCCACTACCAGGCACTGTGTGAAGTGCTTCCTGCACCTTTCCTCTGCGGTCCCTCACATCCCCTCTGGCAGATTCTACAGCCAGGGAGCTGGAGCTCAGACAGGTGTGCAACTTAGCCTAAGGCCACCTGCATAGTGAATGGCTGAGTCAAGCTGGGACTCAAGTCTTGGCTTGGTCTGTGACCCCAAAGCCCATGAGCTACCTGCTCTGCTACTCTGGACCTTTTTGTGTGGTGCTGCTAGTTCAAGGGCAAGAACACATGTGGCCCTAGCAGGAAATGTGGGGATCTGACATAGGCCTGCTGGTATAGTGTCATGCCTGGGGACATTTGAGACTAGAGGGGTGAGTGTGGAATTTTACTGACTCATTCCCCACCCTTTGTGTTCCTGTTTTCAGTGAGGTCCAGGGCCAGAGCATCTGACTCACAAGTAGGGCCTGTCTGAGGTTGTGAGAAGCTTCTCTCACCTCCCTCCTGTCCTCTGCCCAGGCCCCCTACTCCCCGCTGCTCCCCCCCCCATCTTTTGCACTATGAATGTCAAGGAGCCTGTGTGTGTGGCAGGGATGGCTGTGAGGTTATTTGGAACCCAGGTGGGGCTTCTGGCCCAGCTGGAGAGGCCATCAGCTTGGGGACATTCCGTTCTGGGTTCTGACGTTGTTGGTTTGGTGTGCTTTTTGTAAGAGGAATTTCATACCTTGGAGATGCTTTGTACATATTTGTAATGATTTTATTAAAAACTTGGTTGTGCACTTCTAGCCGAAGTCCTTTGTGTTTTCATTTCCTTTTGGAGGGTCGGTTCTCAATGTCCATGGGACAATCTGGCTGCACTATTGATGGAGATCCCCTACCCCTGGACCCTGCACACTCTGATCCCCGTCCCCGCCCCATCCCCAGAGCAGAAAGCCACACACTTACCTCACCTCTCGAATTCCTCAGTACCCCTCAGGGGAAGGAAGGGTTTGCTGAGATAGGACCCAGGCAACAGGTTTGAGAACTTGCCCAACAATTCAAAGTCTCAGCTTTGGGCAAATAGGTCACACTGGGTGAAGTACTTTCACCTGCATTTGTGGGGTCTGAGACATACCAAGAGGCCAGGTTCTAGTTTCTTCCTAAGAATGGTGAGTTGTGGCAGGATTTTTAGGGGGAGGTGTTTTTAGATAAGAGATCTTCTCTTTTCCTTTGGAGTCTCACCCCTTCCCCACTTTCCTGTGACTTTGAGGGGCTGACTCCATCCTCCCATCCCCTCCACCATCACCTCCAGGGCTCCGTACCTGACAGGGCCCGGCTGGTACTCCACTTCCCACAGGCCAAAGTAATTGGTCTGAAGACAAATGGGACACTTTCTGGAACTCTGGGGAGGCAGAAGCTCTCTGTGCCGGGGTCGTTCAACTAGCGCAATATACGCATAGAGTTGTGGGGGAGGGTCATCTTACCACCACATGGGACCCAACTGTCTGGGAGGAACACAGAACTGAAGAAGGAAGAGAGACATGGTCATTGCTCCAGCCCCTGAATCCAGCTGTACCTGAAGTCCATACTATTACAGGAACCAAATAAAGTCCTTTTAAAATTCAAGCCATTTTTGCATTGGTTTTCTAACAGTGGCAACCAAAAAGTTCCTATGATGTTTTTCTGGCTGGTGTCATCATGCTACCCTGAGAGGCATAACCTGCCACCTAATGCCAGTGAGTTACATGTAGACATCCATTACTGGCTGACACCCGGGCAAGTCCTCTTGCATCAAACTGTCCGTTTGGGGTCCACACAACCGATAGCCCCCATGGTAGGCATTGCAGTTGCTCCACGGAGGCCCCTCTGGTCCCTTTTACCAATTCTGTGTTCCTGTCCTGCACCTCAGTATGCTTTGCTGGGGCCTGAGGTCTTCAGAGACTTCTCTTGGACACAGGCACCTCCTCAGTGAAGAGCCTGAGGTGCCCCCATCAACCCAGAGACAAAGATCCACCGGTATTTTTATGAACTCAAAAAACACAAGGTAGGACCAGCTCTGAGATGCAACTTATACTCAGGGCTCCATGTGGGATTGGGCTGAGGCTGTGACCTCCCCAGAAGTCGCTGCTAGCTTGGCTCCTTCCCCTGGCTCATTCTGTCCCACCCAGTCCCTTACTAGCTTCTCCTGGGAGCATGTCCCCAATAGACCACATGCTCCTCCACAGGCTC